GCTCGTCATCTGTATGAGGCCACCAAGCTAGGCCATTACAACAAGGCGATTGTGTACTATGACAAACCGTGGTGGAGAGATCTTGGGTTCAACGGTTTCGCCATGAGTTTCGTTGGCCCTGCGGTCGTGATCCGAGACACCAGCGTCGATGAGAAAGAGTGCTATGCCTTGACCTGTTTCGTCAACGGGCGAGAGGGAGAGAAGTGGTCAAAGCTGCATGACCACGAGCGCAGGCGGGTTATACTCCAACAGCTTGCCATTATTTACAATGTTGGGCCTGAGTCGGAAGTGTTCCGACCTATCGAGTTCTTTGTTCAGATATGGAAGCATGAGGAGTACAGCAAAGGGGCGCTTGCTCCCATCACTCATCTAGGTCACTACACCAGGTTTCAGTCAGTCTATGGCAAGCCGGTAGGCAACCTGCATTTCGTAGGGACTGAGTACTCCAACGAGTGGAAGGGATATATGGAGGGGGCACTATGCTCAGGAGAAACAGGGGCCCGACAGGTCTTGGAAGCCTTGCGGAGTGGGAGGGTTCTTAAAGGCAGTATTATTTCAAAGCTGTAAGCTTTTCTAATTGACTTATATGAATAGTTTCTTGGGATCTCGTGAGGTATATGCAAAATCTATGGGTAGTAGCATGAAGAAAGAGTTGGAGCAGACTTACATTCCAATGATGATACATTTCGCAAGCTCCTTGTGCCCGCGCAAGTGATGCGAAGAGACAAGGCACATCACGACCAAATTTCGCTTGATAATCAAAGAAATCCGTAGAGAAACCTGATGCTGCGATCGAGTGGTTACTGGGGTAAGGTACTGCCAAAGCTGAATCTGCAGCCTGATCATATTTTCCAAGGAACCGCGGTTTGGGTCTCTGTTTCTTCCATATGAGATTTAATTGGCTGGTTTCTGTCTCGGATATCCTGTTGCGTATGGCTGCTTGTCAACGCCTGCACACAACCTACGTAGCGGTGTAGCTGCACATGCCGGAGGCCGACCACCTTCGCATAAGGTGTCCCTGATCTGGTTTTCCAGGTGGCCCAGGCTCAATAGACTGGAGACATAAATCCGTCCACCCATCGTTCGTGGACAATCATGGACATAAATCTGCATTTGCCAGAAGTTTAGTGTACGGTTCCTCGCTTTTTTCAAAACCTACCTTGAGCATCCTATACGTGGCGCTGGCCGAACCAGCTATTTCTCTGGGCATGGATCAAACTCCGGAGCAGGCCCTCAAAGAGGGGATGAAGAGGTGGGGACAATTGATCAACAAAGACTACAGCCACCGAATTCATATTGACTGATGGCGGCATCGCTCACAGGCTCCGCATTAGCGGTGACTACAGTGACATGACCATAATCTGTGGTGATACTGAGTATCAAGTCCACAAAGCTATCGTCTGTCCGCGCTCGAAATACTTCGATGCCATGTTCTCGCATGCTATGCAGGTTCGCATGAATGCCTCGGAAAGGGGCCCAAATCTTGCAGTACATGGAGCTCATGCCAGAACTGACTCCATACAGGAGAAAGGTACTTCTCGAGTCGATTTATCCGATCATAATCCTTTCGCAGTCAGCGCATTGATCAAGTTTCTATATGAGCTCGATTACGAAGCGCCGCCACACTGCGGCGATACATTTGAAAGGGTGCTGAGCTACATTCAGCGTTGAGTAGACAGTGAGCTGATGCAGAAGCGATACGCAGCACATGACAATAAGAACGTTCAGAGAGAAATCGGCTGTGAATTCTAGAAGCGAGGCGTCATTTAGTGCCCCGTTGACTGAGGAGAGCTTTAGTGCGGCACAGGCTCTCCAAGGGGAAACCGGCCTTCTTGATCACTGCAGTGTCTATTCTTTGGCAGAATACTGCCAGATAGCAGAGCTGAAAGTCCTGGCCGCATCAAAGTTCCGCTCCGAAGCTGAGAAACACTGGATGCACCCCGACTTCTTTGAGGCAATCCAGGACGTTTACCGCACCTCGGCACGCAATGACCGCCTCCTACGCGACATTGTCGTGAACGTCTTGTATGAGCATAAGGGGCTCTTAGGTCGACATGAGTATCAAGAAATTATCAGCCAGCTTGATGTCTCTTTCGAGCTGCTCATGAAAGTCCGCCAGAGGGATTACTGGTTAGACGAATCAGGGATGACTAGTTGACCTTCTAAACTTGACAGTCAACTTGGATGCAGAGCCAATGGGTCACTCAGCAATCCTTGACACGTTCTTCTAGCATCCTACTGAGGAAGCTTACAGTGCTCAGATTTCTTGGAAGTCACTAAGCTAAGTAGTCACACACGCAAAACCTGCTCGGTTATAGAGGGTTCTGTACTCTTTGCTTTCGACCTCTATGCTATTAAGTGAATGCACATCGCCTACTTAGTTACATGAGTGTCGTGAGTGATCGTTTACAAAGCCTCTGTAACAAAGGTACCCATTTTTGAAATTTAGCGCCTTCAACTGTGATCCGCGATTGGTGCTGTGGCTGCACAGATGTAGATGTGTGCTGAGGCGTGTGATCGGCTCGGGATGTGAAGCCGACAAGCGTCTTGCCGACCAGATAGCTAGTAGGGCCACATTGACCACTCTTAACACAGACATTCTTGATCACAAAGCGCAAGTCAGCCATCATCTGACATGGAAAGTTCTGATACAATTCAATTACTTCGTCACATCAAGAGAAAAAACTCGTCGAGCGGAATGGCAGCCCGACTTTCGCTGCAACAATTGAAAACCCCAGTCTTTTTCGTTTGGAAAATCTTTTCCTCGACGGACATTGGATCTTTTTTTGAACCATGCAAAACCATCAAAATCCAGAATCCTGCCACGGGCGAAATCATTTGGGACCTGTCCAGAGTCGGCCGTCGGCCGCTTGCCCCAAGCAATCAACCCCGCTTCCGCCGCATTTCCCCTCTGGAGGGCTCAATCTGGGGGCCCCCGAGGGCGCGTCCTGCGCTGTCTCGGCGACCTCATTACCGAAAACAAGGTCGACATCGGCAGGATCATTACTGCCGAGAACGGGAAGGCCAAGGCCGATGCCGAGGGTGAAGCCCTTTTTTTCTTGCCAGCTTCTTTGAGTGGTTCTCCGAAGAAGCTCCTTGGGAGTCATGGCGATATCGTCCCGCACAAGAATCCTCAGGAAGAATTCAAATATTGAAACACCCATCGGAGTCTGCGGTCTTATTACACCTTGGAACTTCCCCATGGCGATGGGTGCACGCAAGATAGCGGCGGCTCTTGCCGCTGGTTGTACTGTGGTACTCAAATCCGATGGGCTTACGCCATTCTCTTCCAATGCTCTGGGTGTCTTGGGGGAGATGGCGGGCATTCCCAAGGGAGTCCTCAATATTGTCACCGCGCTTGAAAACACCCCGCAGCTTGGCCTCGCCCTGTGTGAAAGCACCACCGTCCAAAAGATTTCCTTCACGGGGTCAACCAGAGTCGGCAAGCTTCTCATGAAGCAGTCCAGCAGTACGCTCAAGAAGTTGAGTCTCGAGCTGGGGGGGAACGCTCCTTTCATTGTTTTCGACGATGCGGACCTAGAAACGGCTGTGTCTAGCGCTATCGTCAGCAAATTCAAAGTCTCGGGTCAGACCTGCGTATGCGCCAACAGATTCTACGTTCAAGACGGTATCTACCAACGTTTCAGCGAGCGTCTTGTCAAGGAGGTCAAGAAGTTCAAGGTCGGGAACGGCAGTATCGAAGCTGTCACTCACGGGCCACTTACGACAAGCGTAGCCAAGGTAGAAGAACACGTAAAGGACGCTCTGAGAAAAAACGCAAAGCTTCTTCTCGGAGGGCATCGTCTACCCGAGCTTGGGTCTAGGTTCTTCGAGCCGACCATTCTTGGCGATGTCGATGACACAATGGGCGTCATGCATGACGAGACATTTGGTCCATTGGCGGCGTTGACCAGGTTTAACAACGAGGAAGAGGTGATCGCGAGGGCGAACTCAACGGAAGTTGGACTTGCTTCGTATCTCATGACCGCTGATCTCAGCCGATCTATACGTGTATCAGAGAGGCTGGAATGCGGAATGGTAGCGCTGAACACGGGTGTTATTTCGGACCCCGCAGCACCGTAAGTTTTTACCTGGCCCTCGAAAGAAATAGAGGACTAATAATCGAAAGCTTTGGGGGTATCAAGCAGTCTGGGTTTGGCCGTGAAGGAAGTCAATACGGCATGGATGACTACATGGTTTCTAAAACCATTGTTACGGGTGGTATAGTCACAAAATACAGTGCCCACTTATAGGGAAACTGGCATTGCGGGCTGAGGCCACGGCCGATAATTGAGGTTGTTAGCTGTACTTATGGATGAGTTTGTACGTTTAGTCGCGACCGAAGACGCGGCATTATCAAACTTCTGGGCCAGTAGTCATTCAAAGCACTACTTCATCTCACCATCCACGTCTCGAAGTCTTGGTTGAGTATGAGCACATCTATATGATCCTGAGTTTATTTGACCGTCTTCTAAATCTTGTTCGAAATGTTGCCTTTTCTAGACAAACCGACCTCAAAGCAGTATGAGACTTTCAGAAAAAGTTAACCAACGGCGTTGCGAGCATATATTGCCGTGAAGTTGGGTACATCCTTGATACCTTGGGTGAACGCGACCACACGGCAAGCATTCGTCTCCCTTCTCCATCCAAACCAGACCCATAGTACACTTGACATGGATCGGTATCGATAGCCGAAGTCTTGCTGCTAAGCCCTCCAGGCTACGACATAGATGAAGCCGATGCCGAGCCGAAGCTGATCAATTTCTATGGACACCCGAGAACCGAATTTTATGACATGGATGAGTGCCGAACGCGACTACTTCGGAGCCGGCGGCACTGAGTCATCGGCTTTGTTGGTTTTCTCGGTGCCATGCTCATCTTATTGATTTGAGCACCTCACACTTACAAAGGCTGTCTGGCGAAGTTTCCATAGGTGTCGGTGCGAGATCCCGAGGGCCTCAGACTGCTTTTTACGCAGGGCGGGATTCGGAAAACTAAAGGCGACACTCTATTTCAAGACTCAAAAATGCGATCCTAAAAGCTTATAACGATTGAAGCAATCCAGCTTGGGTGGGCAAAATAGGCTGAGATACTTCTGCATCGTTTGAGGTCTTTCAATCATTTACGCCAGTTGACCAGTAGCTTCCCATTATGCCTATGATCTTGGAGAGTATGCCCAAGGGTAATTTTCCCGCTCGAGCTCCTCATCAGCCTCCCGAAGTAGTGGGCTCGCAGACAAAAAGAGCAACTCGACCAACAACTTCATTGCCGCAGGCTATGATTGACGAGGCAAAAGTCCCGAAACGGGAGAGATTCAACCCAGCAAAGCATTTGGCGTACCAGCGCCCAGAGAGGATCGTCAGCATGAAAGACATTGGCCTAGAGGGCGCAGGGATCTCTGCCACTGCAATCTCTGAACCCTTCCCTCTTTTCACGCGAGAGGCCATTGTCCAGATGCGTGCCGAAATCTTCAGCAAGGACAGCCTCGAGAATTGCCAATACAGCTCAACCTTCTGCAAGAACATGATTCGCGCGATGGGACCAGCGTACGTAAAATCAATCATCAGCGCATGATTCGATGGCTAATCTCGCACTTACAGCATCGCACCTTTCGTCTACGATGCGTGGAACTCGCCGGAGGTCCTGAGCGGAATTTCTGAAGTTGCAGGGATCGAGCTTGTGCCAGTTTTCGACATTGACATTGGCAACGTCAATATTTCCTTCGATGATCAAACCGGCACGACAACTAGGGACGAGACGGCTGCGGAACAGGTTCCAGCTTTCGCATGGCACTATGATAGCTTTCCATTTGTCTGCGTGACTATGCTCTCAGATTGCGAGGGTATGATTGGTGGCGAGACTGCAATTCGCACACAGAGTGGCGAAGTGATGAAGCTACGTGGACCTGCCATGGTAGGAATGCCCTCACGGATTTTGTTCAAAGTTCAGTTCGTGGCTAACCCTTACTTCTCAGGGCACTGCCATTGTCCTTCAAGGTCGTTACATTGAGCACCAGGCCCTCAAGGCATTCGGTGGATCTGAGCGCATCACCATGGTCACATCCTTCCGCGCCAGGTCCCCTTTCGTAAAGGACGAGTCGGTGTTGACAGGAGTCCGTGGTATCAGTAATGTGTCTGATCTTTACACTCAGTATACAGAATATCGCCTGGAGATACTGGAGGACCGCATCCGCGCCAAACGCAAAAGCGAGAACTACCGAGCGGCGTCAAAGCGATCTTTCGATGTTGACGAAATTCGGGTCTGGCTTGAGACTCAGCGTCAATTCATTGATGCCATGCTAGTGGAGATTTATGAAGTGGAAGACGGAGAAGAGGAGTGAGTAGTCGACTGTGTAAGCTGGGTTGGGCAATACGTGTTAGTTGATGTGCAATTGGGAGCATATGTGTTCACAAGTCCCGCTTCAGAAACCCCAACTGGACGTCCCATTGCAGGCGCGGCTGCATGAGAGCGCTCGACAAATCGATATCACTATAAGTTGCGCGTTGTAGCGTTTGATCTACTGAATGGCCTTTGAATTTTGATCCTCGTCACCCCCGCGTCGAGACGCAAATTGAACTATGATGCCCGGAACCTAGCCGGACAAGAGCCCCACAAGTGGCCGACCTCGGCACGCGTGTTCGAGTGGGTCCCGACTACTTCAGCTCCGAGTTTAGTCGTTCATATTCTCTCGTGTAGGGGAGTTCTGAGGAATCGAGCGTTGTTGTACCGTCTCAAGCTAGCAACTTCCACCCTCGGTCGATATTGACAACCATGAAATATCGCAGCGATATGTGTTGGGTGTTGTTACATTGCGGAACACAGTCAATTTAGCTGGCACTCTGTGCTGTCTTATTACCCACTTGAGATTCTGTAAGATCAATTTCCACAGTCGGAATTTTTGACATTTGCGAGGGCACTAACGCCGCCGACGCTCGCTCTGTGTATCTCGCCGAAGGTACAAGAATCCACCGGGGAACTACGCTCAAAAGGCGCCGCCGAGTCTGCCATAAGGCGTCTATCACCAGGGTATCCGTTCAAAAGATCCATTTTATTACAGGGATGATGAGTCGATTAAACGTCATGAAGATAGGGTAGGTGCTTCTTTCCAGTCCCCCTTGGCCCTGAAAGCTGTCGGAGGCAGCATCCGTGTCTGAGGATGTGAAGATGCGTGCCGAAGTCGAATTGCCTCGCTTTCTCACACTTTTTGTGCCGGAGGACTGTTGAGGAGGTTTTAGATGGGATGAAAGGCCTCGAAGCAGGGGGCCGGTTTATGTATCACGGGTCGGCACTAGCCTTGCTCTCGTTCCCATGTTCAATCGCCAATACCCAGGCCCAATGCCCAAAGCAACCAGCCATGTCGATACACTCGGAGAATGTACGGTATGCTTCGAAAGATCTCTTTGACCTCCTGATTTTGCGAAATCCTCTTCGCCAAGAATTTCTGGCTCAAAGCCAGCCGGCAGCTTCAGCTCCTTCAAGAACGAGAAAGGCCAGCATGATTTGCCTCGCACTGTCTCCGTCAACGAAGTCTTCAAGGAGAACGCAACCAATGGACCAGTCTTTCACCAAACGACCATAATTGCTCAGCGCGTTGGCCGGTTCTATCAAGCGGCGGTGCTGACGCGGGCTGACAAGATAGACAAAAAGGCTATCAACAAGAGCTTTGAACTCATACTCATTCTACCCAAGAAAATATGCCCGGCAGACGAGCCTGGACTTACCCGCACCCCAGGGCTGTATATCAAGACACCGCAGCTGAGCACATATTTACCCGATGGCGAGAGCGCCATTGCGTTGTAGACTCTCCACGAAGCCAAAATCTACGAGATTCTGCGGAAGAAACCCCATCCTGCGCTGGGAACGTGCCTCGGCTGCGTGGTGAGCGACGATGGACTCATTACAGGGCTCGAGCTCGTGCGCTACGAGAAGACGCTGTTCCAGCGGGCGCACGATCCGGCATTTTACGAGGGCGACACGCGGGTCAAAACGATGAAGACTGTGAAAGAGGCCGTATGCCACCTGCACAACCTCGGCCTGGCTTACAACGACCTCAGCCCCCTCAATATCATGTTTGTGTGGGGAAGCAGCGATGAGCCTGTCGTGCTGGACTTTGATACATGTCACCCGGAAGGACGAAGCTCCCCGAAGGAGGAATCGTAGGGGACTGGGAGGTGGCATCGATCAAAAAGTTTGACGTGTCCTCTTTCGAGTGTGACTTTTAAGCACTGTTCTATCTCGAAGAATGGCTCTCGAGAAAGCAAAAGGCTTTGATGCGATGACTTGATGATTGCAGTATACCTGTCGAACAGCCCGTCGATTTGACGCCTAACCTTTCACTGAGTCCATGAGTTCCCTTTTCACGAAGGCAGTCAATGAGGACATTGTCAAGAGGGCTCGGAGTTGTTGCAGGGTGGCCCTGAAGAATACACTTCATGCCGATCTGCTGCCCACTTCCCATCCAGGCAATGCCAGGAGACTCCTCAAAGCTGGATGCAGGACAGAGCTCCTGAAGAGGAGACTCATCACACTCTCTGAAGCTCGGTGGCTCGTTGCCGGGAGTTGGAGCCAAAGCGCCGGCTGCGAAGCCGACTCGATTTTCTTCCACGTCTATTCTCGCATAGACTTTTTCTGCTTCTTACTACGAGGTACCTCGTTTACTTCCTTACATTGGCAGAACCATGCGCCACGAGTCTCGTCTTATTACTTGCTCAGCTAGGTTCAAAAATCAGAATGCTATGAACCATTGTGGCGAATATCACCGCTGTGCGGCAGACAGGAAGTGACTGATTGCCATTTTGATTTGAAAGCCCCATGCGCTCATGCACAGTCTGTTCGCTTCATAATCGGCACGACGAGGATGTAGTCTTCCTGTGAGATCAAAACTGTACACGGCATTGGCACAGTGCTTGTTCAAGGCTGAACTTTCCTTGACCTTGTTATAGTGCCCTCAGAGATGAGAGCCAGATGCAAAAGGAGGGTTTCATTTCCTGCCGGCAGATGAAGAACACGAGCTCAAGCCCACGATAGCAATGCCCGAACACTGCTCGCCCTTCATTATGAGCAGGGCGCGATTAGATCGTCGCGCGTCATGCTCCACCCCAAAACACGCAGTCCGGCACCCATGTAGCTCAGGGGTTTATTTCCCCTACAGCTAACCTGTCCCAACAAACGACGAGCCTCCGGGACCTGAAAGAGTGGTCCGAGTCAGCCGCCTCCCTGTCAATGGGGCCATCACGATCCCCGACGTCCGGGAAAGCAGGAACATCACATGACGAAGACCAGGCGCGGACTACCCGGCTCTCATCACATTCAGGGCAAGAGGATCTCCTTAGCGCGAGCCGAGGCCCCGGGCCGCTCACACCTCGTCTTGCGCTGATGACCTGCTTCGGCGTCCGAGTGTGGCCGACATGTTTTGCTGAGAAGCCCGAGCGGAAAAGGACGGGCTGGCATTCTTCTTTAGTCTGAGATGCTCCTCTCGGAGCATGGACTAGATTTCCGTTGGTTGGGATGAATGAAGCAAGCTGCGAGGAAGACACGGAGGGAGCAAGGCTCGGAAATCGAAGGTAGGCACCGAGATGAGCCCAAGGAACGAAAAGTTTCTGCCTCGCTTCTTCAGTTGCTCGGCGAATCGACGCAAGTGGCTTGGGATTGTTCTGCCTGCGTGTCTCCCGGTCTCTCCTGATCGCCGTCCACAGACGAGCTTCATGCCGAAACGAGACAAGGGCCCAGTAGACGAGGAACACGAGGAAACATGGAACTCGAGGGGGCGACGCGTCGTTGGGTCAAGGAAATGAAAGAAGCACTAGGATCCGGGGCGAGGAGAACCGACGAACCGGAATGCGTCGTCGACCCGTCCGCGCCCGTTTCATCAGATAAAAAAATAATAGGGAGAGGCGCGAGGCCAGGGGTGACAGGGGGGCAATAGAGTTATCAGATCAAAGAGTGCTGGTGGGTGTGTGGAACGGACGCTCGCCTTGGGGTGTGCCGCGGCAGGAGGAGAACGAAGAGTGAGTGGAGATGACGAGGAAAGGAGGCGGCGTCAGGCATAGAGACAGGCATTGAGGCAGGCATGCTCGGTGGGCTGGCCGGTTTCGGAGGAAATGTCGTTATTTGTGACCGATTAGATGTGATTGATTTGATGAGATGAGATTGATAAGATTATCCCATGGCACGGCACACGGTGCAGCAGCGTCCGAATAGAAGGCCCTCAGGCGTTCTGGGCGTCTGTGAGTCGCAGGGGGGCGCACAAGACGGTATGAGTGGCTGGAATGATGGGGTGGATCGCCGTGGCTACCCGCATGCTGTCTCACCTGCTCTGCGATTGTTCTTGCTTGGCGAGAGGCACGTACATGTACAGGCAGGCTGCTCTGGAGCCGTGGTCCTTCAGGCTTCGGAGGAGTAGTACCACCCACTTTCTTTGTCTTACCGACAGAGCAGTCTGTGGCCCACGACCCTCTGATGGCGCAGCGGTGATCACCATCATGGCTGGTATTGCTTCGATGCGGGACGAAGATTCAGCTGAACACCACCCAGGCCAACCCCATCCAGGCCAGCCCCAATCTCCCCGACTTGTTCTGCACTCATTCATGACAACGAAACGATGCATGTGCCCTCGGCTTGGCGCATCGGGCCAGCTCGGTTCGGCGGCGCGAACTGGGGCCGGGACTGTACCGGGACTGGACCGCGGGCAGTGCTAGCCTTGAGAAGACCTGGGAAAACTGATGCGCTCCACTCCCAGGATTTCATTTTGCTGCATTGCCGGAGGAGGGCCACGAATCCACCGCATCCTGGCCTGGCTCTCCACCCCCCCCCTCCCCTGCCTTGTTGGGTGCGCACGTTATCTCGATTCGGTTGGGAAGCGGAGAGCCTTCATCATCGAAGCAGGAGAAGAGAGGCCTGACGGGACGGACAAGAAAACGAACGGTGGGTGATCGTCATCGAATCGAGCAGAAAAAAAAATGAATAACACAAGAGGGGCGGAAATTGGCGTCGCCTGTTGTCGGGTCACGTCTGGGCTGAGAGTGGTCAGGTAGGTTGAGTGGCCTGACGCAAACGCCTTGCCTGTCCAGCAGCCAGGGTGAACCCTTTTTTGGGGGGTGGGTGGTTTGGGCTTATCTGATGCGCGACCATCTGATAATGCCCAGTTTGCTTTTTGGCATGGGGGGCGGGTAGTTATTGTGGTTTTCCGCGCGACAACCCGTCCGGGAATGCACTCGCGAGTTGGGCATCTCCTATCACGGAACCAACAAGGAAGGGCTGCAAGCCATTAGGGAATTGTGGAGGAAAGGGTCCGCGAATCGCTGGCTGCGCGCAATCGCACGCGCAATGGTGCAATGTACCTTTGCACGAGCGATGCTGTCCCTCTCGCCGCTGCCCCCCTCCCCCACAATATCGAGTGTAATCGAAGGCAAGAGAGACGCCTGAGAGAGGGCCCTCTGGTGGATCACGATGAGGGGGCGTGGGTGAAGGGGACCGAGAGGGAGGACAGACACTGAGAGACGAAGGACAAGCGACAGCCCCTCGACTTGTCGATAAGCCGAGCCTATTTGCCTGGTCTGCCCAAAACTTTTTTTTCTCTGCTCTTGCTTTCCAGCGCCTCGGAATGGTAGCCACGCACTACTGGGGCTGGGCTCGTTTGGGCTGGGGCTGGCTCACTGGCACTTGACATGCATTGGGGTCGGTCGGCGAGCACCGGAGGAGAAAGGGGGGGGGAGAGAGGGCGATCTTAGTAAAAGAAAAGGGGTGGGCTGATGAACGGCTGACAATCATTAGCTCATCAATCGCTGATTATAGCGGTCTTGTCCACTCATGATCACCAATGCTCAAGTGCTGAGCGTGCAATGACCACATGCTGTCACTATTGCCACCCCTCGC